GGTTTATTTCCAAATAATGAGAAATGATGGATTTTGACCTAAAAGCACCCGTTTCTGTATTACTATGTATATAGAGGCGGACAGAGGGAAGGGTTCTGTGAGAATTTACAGGTTTACATACACACTGTTATATTTCAATTTAAAGAAGATTGGAGAAACCGTGAAAACATTTTATTCCTTATCACAGAAATCTATCACATAAATAAAGCTAGAGAGACACATTTATGTGTAACCACTGATTAGCCACAACATTAAAACCACCTGCTGAATATCATGTAATATAATAAAACCACCCGCCGAATATCTGGTAATATAATAAAACCACCTGCCTAATATCTGTTCATATAATAAAACCACCTGCAGAATATCCAGTAATATAATAAAACCACCTGCCGAATATCATGTAATATAATAAAACCACCTGCCGAATATCATGTAATATAATAAAACCACTTGACGAATATCTGGTAAAATAATAAAACCACCCGCCGAATATCTGGTAATATAATAAAACCACCTGCCTAATATCATGTAATATAATAAAACCACCTGCCGAATATCATGTAATATAATAAAACCACTTGACGAATATCTGGTAAAATAATAAAACCACCCGCCGAATATCTGGTAATATAATAAAACCACCTGCCTAATATCATGTAATATAATAAAACCACCTGCCGAATATCATGTAATATAATAAAACCACTTGACGAATATCTGGTAAAATAATAAAACCACCCGCCGAATATCTGGTAATATAATAAAACCACCTGCCTAATATCATGTAATATAATAAAACCACCTGCCGAATATCATGTAATATAATAAAACCACTTGACGAATATCTGGTAATATAATAAAACCACCCGCCGAATATCTGGTAATATAATAAAACCAGCTGCCGAATATCTGATAATATAATAAAACCACCTGCCTAATATCTGGTAATATAATAAAACAACCTGCCGAATATCATGTAATATAATAAAACCAACTGCTGAATATCTGGTAATATAATAAAACCACCTGCTGAATATCTGGTAATATAATAAAACCACCCGCCTAATATCTAGTAATATAATAAAACCACCCGCTGAATATCATGTAATATAATAAAACCACCCGCCTAATATCTGGTAATATAATAAAACCAGCTGCTGAATATCTAGTAATATAATAAAACTAGCTGCCGAATATCTGGTAATATAATAAAACCACCTGCCGAATATCTGGTAATATAATTAAACTACCTGCCTAATATCTGGTAATATAATAAAACCAGCTGCCGAATATCTGATAATGTAATAAAACCACCTGCCTAATATCTGGTAATATAATAAAACCAGCTGCCTAATATCTAGTAATATAATAAAACCACCCGCCTAATATCTGGTAATATAATAAAACCACCTGATGAATATCGTGTAATATAATAAAACCACCTGCCAAATATCATGTGATGTAATAAAACCACCTGCCGAATATCATGTGATGTAATAAAACCACCCGTCGAATATCATGTAATATAATAAAACCACCCGCCTAATATCTGGTAATATAATAAAACCAACCGCCTAATATCTGGTAATATAATAAAACCACCTGATGAATATCGTGTAATATAATAAAACCACCTGCCAAATATCATGTGATGTAATAAAACCACACGTCGAATATCATGTAATATAATAAAACCACCCTCCTAATATCTGGTAAAATAATAAAACCACCTGCCTAATATCTGGTAATATAATAAAACCAGCTGCCTAATATCTAGTAATATAATAAAACCACCCGCCTAATATCTGGTAATATAATAAAACCACCTGATGAATATCGTGTAATATAATAAAACCACCTGCCAAATATCATGTGATGTAATAAAACCACCTACCGAATATCATGTGATGTAATAAAACCACCCGTCGAATATCATGTAATATAATAAAACCACCCGCCTAATATCTGGTAAAATAATAAAACCACCCGCCGAATATCTGGTAATATAATAAAACCACCCACCTAATATCTGGTAATGTAATAAAACAACCTGCCGAATATCTAGTAATGTAATAAAACCACCTGCCTAATATCGTGTAATATAAGAAAACCACCTGCCTAATATCTGGTAATATTATAAAACCACCTGCCGGATATCGTGTAATATAATAAAACCACCTGCCGAATATCATGTAATATAATAAAACCACCTGCTGAATATCGTGTAATATAATAAAACCACCTGCCGAATATCATGTAATATAATAAAACCACCCGCCGAATATCATGTAATATAATAAAACCACCTGACGAATATCTGGTAAAATAATAAAACCACCCGCCGAATATCTGGTAATATAATAAAACCAACTGCCGAATATCTGATAATATAATAAAACCACCTGCCGAATATCTAGTAATGTAATAAAACCACCCGCCTAATATCGTGTAATATAATAAAACCATCCGCCGAATATCTGGTAATATAATAAAACCACCCGCCTAATATCTGGTAATATAATAAAACCACCTGCCTAATATCTAGTAATATAATAAAACCACCCGCCGAATATCTGGTAATATAATAAAACCACCCGCCTAATATCTGGTAATATAATAAAACCACCCGCCTAATATAGTGTAATATAATAAAACCACCTGCCTAATATCATGTAATATAATAAAACCACCCGCCGAATATCTAGTAATATAATAAAACCACCCGCCTAATATCATGTAATATAATAAAACCACCCACCTAATATCTAGTAATATAATAAAACCACCCGCCGAATATCTGGTAATATAATAAAACCAACTGCCGAATATCTGGTAATATAATAAAACCACCCGCCTAATATCTGGTAATATAATAAAACCACCCGCCGAATATCTGGTAATATAATAAAACCACCCGCCGAATATCTAGTAATATAATAAAACCACCCGCCTAATATCATGTAATATAATAAAACCAGCCGCCGAATATCATGTAATATAATAAAACCACCCGCCTAATATCTAGTAATATAATAAAACCACCCGCTGAATATCTGGTAATGTAATAAAACCACCTGCCGAATATCTGGTAATATAATAAAACCACCCGCCTAATATCTGGTAATATAATAAAACCACCCGCCGAATATCTAGTAATATAATAAAACCACCGGCCTAATATCTAGTAATATAATAAAACGAACTGCCGAATATCATGTAATATAATAAAACCACCTGCCTAATATCATGTAATATAATAAAACCACCCGCCTAATATCTGGTAATATAATAAAACAACCTGCCGAATATCATGTAATATAATAAAACCACCCGCCGAATATCATGTAATATAATAAAACCACCCGCCGAATATCTAGTAATATAATAAAACCACCCGCCTAATATCATGTAATATAATAAAACCACCTGCCTAATATCATGTAATATAATAAAACCACCTGCCTAATATCTGGTAATATAATAAAACAACCTGCCGAATATCATGTAATATAATAAAACCAACTGCCGAATATCTGGTAATATAATAAAACCACCCGCTGAATATCTGGTAATATAATAAAACCACCCGCCTAATATCTAGTAATATAATAAAACCACCCGCTGAATATCATGTAATATAATAAAACCACCCGCCTAATATCTGGTAATATAATAAAACCAGCTGCCGAATATCTAGTAATATAATAAAACTAGCTGCCGAATATCTGGTAATATAATAAAACCACCTGCCGAATATCTGGTAATATAATTAAACTACCTGCCTAATATCTGGTAATATAATAAAACCAGCTGCCGAATATCTGATAATGTAATAAAACCACCTGCCTAATATCTGGTAATATAATAAAACCAGCTGCCTAATATCTAGTAATATAATAAAACCACCCGCCTAATATCTGGTAATATAATAAAACTACCTGATGAATATCGTGTAATATAATAAAACCACCTGCCGAATATCATGTGATGTAATAAAACCACCCGTCGAATATCATGTAATATAATAAAACCACCCGCCTAAGATCTGGTAATATAATAAAACCACCCGCCTAATATCTGGTAATATAATAAAACCACCTGATGAATATCGTGTAATATAATAAAACCACCTGCCAAATATCATGTGATGTAATAAAACCACCTGCCGAATATCATGTGATGTAATAAAACCACCCGTCGAATATCATGTAATATAATAAAACCACCTGCCGAATATCATGTAATATAATAAAACTACCCGCCTAATATCTGGTAATATAATAAAACCACCTACCTAATATCTGGTAATGTAATAAAACCACCTGCAGAATATCTGTTAATATAATAAAACCACCCGCCTAATATCTGGTAATATAATAAAACCACCTGATGAATATCGTGTAATATAATAAAACCACCTGCCAAATATCATGTGATGTAATAAAACCACCTGCCGAATATCATGTGATGTAATAAAACCACCCGTCGAATATCATGTAATATAATAAAACCACCTGCCGGATATCATGTAATATAATAAAACTACCTGCAGAATATCTGTTAATATAATAAAACCACCCGCCTAATATCTGGTAATATAATAAAACCACCTGATGAATATCGTGTAATATAATAAAACCACCTGCCAAATATCATGTGATGTAATAAAACCACCTGCCGAATATCATGTGATGTAATAAAACCACCCGTCGAATATCATGTAATATAATAAAACCACCTGCCGGATATCATGTAATATAATAAAACTACCCGCCTAATATCTGGTAATATAATAAAACCACCTACCTAATATCTGGTAATGTAATAAAACCACCTGCAGAATATCTGTTAATATAATAAAACCACATGCCGAATCTGGTAATATAATAAAACCAGCTGCCGAATATCTGGTAATATAATAAAACCACCTGCCTAATATCTAGTAATATAATAAAACCACCCGCCTAATATCTGGTAATATAATAAAACTACCTGATGAATATCGTGTAATATAATAAAACCACCTGCCGAATATCATGTGATGTAATAAAACCACCCGTCGAATATCATGTAATATAATAAAACCCATTCGACGGGTGGTTTTATTACATCACATGATATTCGGCAGGTGGTTTTATTACATCACATGATATTTGGCAGGTGGTTTTATTATATTACACGATATTCACATGCCGAATCTGGTAATATAATAAAACCAGCTGCCGAATATCTGGTAATATAATAAAACCACCTGCCGAATATCTGGTAATGTAATAAAACCACCTGCTGAATATCTGGTAATATAATAAAACCACCCGCCTAATATCTAGTAATATAATAAAACCACCCGCTGAATATCTGGTAATGTAATAAAACCACCTGCCGAATATCTGGTAATATAATAAAACCACCCGCCTAATATCTGGTAATATAATAAAACCACCCGCCGAATATCTAGTAATATAATAAAACCACCGGCCTAATATCTAGTAATATAATAAAACGAACTGCCGAATATCATGTAATATAATAAAACCACCTGCCTAATATCATGTAATATAATAAAACCACCCGCCTAATATCTGGTAATATAATAAAACAACCTGCCGAATATCATGTAATATAATAAAACCACCCGCCGAATATCATGTAATATAATAAAACCACCCGCCGAATATCTAGTAATATAATAAAACCACCCGCCTAATATCATGTAATATAATAAAACCACCTGCCTAATATCATGTAATATAATAAAACCACCTGCCTAATATCTGGTAATATAATAAAACAACCTGCCGAATATCATGTAATATAATAAAACCAACTGCCGAATATCTGGTAATATAATAAAACCACCCGCTGAATATCTGGTAATATAATAAAACCACCCGCCTAATATCTAGTAATATAATAAAACCACCCGCTGAATATCATGTAATATAATAAAACCACCCGCCTAATATCTGGTAATATAATAAAACCAGCTGCCGAATATCTAGTAATATAATAAAACTAGCTGCCGAATATCTGGTAATATAATAAAACCACCTGCCGAATATCTGGTAATATAATTAAACTACCTGCCTAATATCTGGTAATATAATAAAACCAGCTGCCGAATATCTGATAATGTAATAAAACCACCTGCCTAATATCTGGTAATATAATAAAACCAGCTGCCTAATATCTAGTAATATAATAAAACCACCCGCCTAATATCTGGTAATATAATAAAACTACCTGATGAATATCGTGTAATATAATAAAACCACCTGCCGAATATCATGTGATGTAATAAAACCACCCGTCGAATATCATGTAATATAATAAAACCACCCGCCTAAGATCTGGTAATATAATAAAACCACCCGCCTAATATCTGGTAATATAATAAAACCACCTGATGAATATCGTGTAATATAATAAAACCACCTGCCAAATATCATGTGATGTAATAAAACCACCTGCCGAATATCATGTGATGTAATAAAACCACCCGTCGAATATCATGTAATATAATAAAACCACCCGCCTAAGATCTGGTAATATAATAAAACCACCCGCCTAATATCTGGTAATATAATAAAACCACCTGATGAATATCGTGTAATATAATAAAACCACCTGCCAAATATCATGTGATGTAATAAAACCACCTGCCGAATATCATGTGATGTAATAAAACCACCCGTCGAATATCATGTAATATAATAAAACCACCTGCCGGATATCATGTAATATAATAAAACTACCCGCCTAATATCTGGTAATATAATAAAACCACCTACCTAATATCTGGTAATGTAATAAAACCACCTGCAGAATATCTGTTAATATAATAAAACCACATGCCGAATCTGGTAATATAATAAAACCAGCTGCCGAATATCTGGTAATATAATAAAACCACCTGCCCAATATCTGGTAATGTAATAAAACCACCTGCTGAATATCTGGTAATATAATAAAACCACCTGCCGAATATCTGGTAATGTAATAAAACCACCTGCTGAATATCTGGTAATATAATAAAACCACCTGCCAAATATATGGTAATATAATAAAACCACCTGCCGAAAATCTGGTAATGTAATAAACCACCTGCCGAATATCGTGTAATATAATAAAACAACCTGCCGAATATCTGGTAATGTAATAAAACCACCTTCCGAATATCGTGTAATATAATAAAACCACCTGCTGAATATCGTGTAATTTAATAAAACCACCCGCCTAATATCTGGTAATATAATAAAACAACCTGCCGAATATCTGGTAATGTAATAAACCACCTGTCTAATATCATGTAATATAATAAAACCACCTGCCTAATATCTGGTAATATAATAAAACCACCTGCCGAATATCGTGTAATATAATAAAACCACCTGACGAATATCTGGTAATATAATAAAACCACCTGCCGAATATCGTGTAATATAATAAAACCACCTGACGAATATCTGGTAATATAATAAAACCACCTGCCTAATATCTGTTAATATAATAAAACCACCTGCCGAATATCTAGTAATATAATAAAACCAGCTGCCTAATATAGTGTAATATAATAAAGCCACTTGTCGAATATCGTATAATATAATATAATAAAACCACCTGCCGAATATCTGGTAATATAATAAAACCAGCTGCCGAATATCTGGTAATATAATAAAATCACCTGCCTAATATCGTATAATATAATAAAACCACCTACTGAATATCTGGTAATATAATAAAACCACCTACCGAATATCGTGTAATGTAATAAAACCAGCTGCCGAATATCTGGTAATATTATAAAACCACCTGCTGAATATCTGGTAATATAATAAAACCACTTGCCTAATATCTGGTAATATAATTAAACTACCTGCTGAACATCATGTAATGTGATAAAACCACCTGCGAAATATATGGTAATATAATAAAACCAGCTGCCTAATATCTGGTAATGTAATAAACCACCTGCCTAATATCATGTATTATAATAAAACCACCTGCCGGATATCGTGTAATATAATAAAACCACCCGCCTAATATCTGGTAATATAATAAAACCACCTGCCTAATATCTGGTAATATAATAAAACAACCTGCCGAATATCTGGTAATGTAATAAATCACCTGCCTAATATCATGTAATATAATAAAACCACCCGCCTAATATCTGGTAATGTAATAAAACCACCTGCAGAATATCTGTTAATATAATAAAACCACCTGCCGAATATCTGGTAATATAATAAAACCACCTGTCGAATATCTGGTAATGTAATAAAACCACATGAGTAATATTATGTAATATAATAAAACGACCTGCCGAATATCTGGTAATATAATAAAACAACCTGCCAAATATCGTGTAATATAATAAAATCACCTGCCTAATATCTGGTAATGTAATAAAACCACCTGCCTAATATCTGGGATTATAATAAAACCGTCTGCCAAATATCGTGTAATATAATAAAACCACCTGCTGAATATCTGGTAATATAATAAAACCACTTGCCTAATATCTGGTAATATAATTGTGACAGACCCATCCGTATGAACTAGAATTGCTGTGTTCGTCTGTTTGCCGTTTGTATGAAAATCCCCATTCGTATGCCTTGTTTAAGGGAATGTACTTTTCTGTCGAACGGAACTACCGAACGGACGGCCACCCAGAAGAGAAGTGTGCTGCTGGTTAGCCTATTGATCCCAATTAGAACGTTGCGGTTAACCACAGACATTTCTCAATTAAAATCGAATACAGGGTGGTCATGGTTCGTATTAACCATGCGAAAGACCAGCAGTGTTCGACGGTTATTTCATGGAAATGAAAACGGACACTTTTTCAACCGAACACCGCTGAAGCCGTCGACCTCCCTTCTCAATCGACAGAAGTATGCGAACACCGGCCGTTCGAGAGGTTTAAAGGCACGAATGGACTTACCCCAGACAGCCTTCCCATGGAGTCAATCGCATACCGAAGAACTGTAATAGACGTTGACTCCATGGCGATTGAACTGTGCATATGGGATCTGAGCGCTATTCGCCAATAATATGCACTCAGATCCATGCTATCTGGGGATGTGTTACACGAATGTAATATGTTTGGCAGTTATTAAGTTATGTATTTTTATGTGTTTTGTGACTTGTATTTAAAATGGCGATTTGCCTCTGCTCTGGGAGATAATTGAATGACTTCTCAATTATCTCCCGAGCAGAGGGGAGGAAACTGTGATGTATGCTGGGAATATTGTGGGATTGTATGTCTGGAATGTCCACATGTCCATCCGCTATTCCAGTCTCCCATTTGGTCCCCTAGGGGAGTGTCCACCAAGTGGGAGACCTGCATAAATACGGGCAGGTAGCCCACAGTAAACTCAGTTCATGTTTTACCCTCAAAGCGGAGCTTGGTCTCATTATTGGGGGGATTTTATTACCGGCGACTAGAGACTGCTCATTGGAATTATTTGCCGCTTGGAAGATATTGGCAGTTCGTGTATTTGGAGCTCGTGAAGTGAAGGAGCCGTACGGGTACCGTTCGGGAGTTTGGAGTGTTCCCTGGCTGGCGGTTTGCATGGTTATACTGCATACGCTACCAGACCACATTATTGCGAACGGGGAGCATTCACTAAACGGCGGTTTGTACATTTATTACTGAAGGTACCGTAACAATAATTAAACCACCTGCTGAATATCATGTAATGTGATAAAACCACCTGCGAAATATATGGTAATATAATAAAACCAGCTGCCTAATATCTGGTAATGTAATAAAACCACCTGCTGAATATCGTGTAATATAATAAAACCACATGCCTAATATTATGTAATATAATAAAACCACCTGCCTAATATCTGGTAATGTAATAAATCCACCCGCCTAATATCTGGTAATGTAATAAAACCACCTGCCGGATATCATGTAATATAATAAAACCACCCGCCTAATATCTGGTAATATAATAAAACAGGCTGCCGAATATCTGGTAATATAATAAATCCACCGGCCTAATATCTGGTAATATAATAAAACCAGCTGCCGAATATCTGGTAATGTAATAAATCCACCCGCCTAATATCTGTTAATATAATAAAACCAACTGCCGAATATCGTGTAATATAATAAAACCAACTGCCTAATATAGTGTAATATA